TATATATATATATATATATATATATTCCTTAGTCCTGGAAATTCCTTCAGCCGTTTGGCAACCGGCCAGGGGTGCTGTCTCGCCGGAAAGTGCTTGCTCTCGGTCTCTCTAGTCCGCTGGGAAGGTCGAGTCGCACATGGTCGCGCCAGCGATGGTGGTTTCAGATTTTCAGTCGCAACTAATTTCTACAAATCGAAGGTGTTCGGATCTTGCTCAGACCGCTACCCTCGATGAATCGAAAAAGAAATCTTTATTGGTTCAGTCGTCGGGTATGTCGGGTTGAGTGATTTAGCCGCTCAAGAAACCCCGTCTCTACTGCAAATCGCTGGAAAGAGAGTATTTTCGGCCGCTGCTTGATAATCGCCTGAAAGCACGACAAGAACGAAACAGATCACTTCTTCTCACCTTCTTCATCTTCGTTCTCACTCCAGCAGCACTGCAGAATTGAAATATGAGGGGAAATTGGGAGATGTTTAGGGCGGCTTCTGCGAGAATCGTGAAATATGGTGCCAAGATTATGGAAGTCGCTGAGATAGGGATTCTCGTCGGATGAAAAACTTCTCATAGGATAGTTTTTATTTTGTATAAGTTGCGGGTATATGTTGTGCATATATGGAGTATATGTTCCTTATAATATAAGGACTACAGTTTTTATTTTGTATAAGTTGTCATATATGTTGTGTATATATGGAGTATATGTTCCTTATAATATAAGGACTACCTTATATGTATGTATGGTTTATATTGACAAAACATAAACTGATGTTTTTTTTTTTTTTTTGTATATGTATTGTTGATATTCAGTATATTTTCGGTATATTTTTATATTTTCGCACATATACTGAATATATACTAACATAAGCTCAATATATACCACCTGAGAGCTGCGGGAATTAAAGAATTCCAGCACATATACTGAATATATACTAACATAAACTCAATATATACCACCTGAGAGCTGTGTGAATTAAAAATTCCAGTTGCGTAAAGAATATGTTTTGAAATTCAAATATGATATATTTTAATTTTCAATCCTGAAATCTTGCTACAAACATGGAATGGTTGTTACACATATATGTAACTGATTTTAGGTATGAATGTAATTATATTTTATCTATTAGGTATATACACAATTAAATTGGTATGAATTGTATTATTGCAATTACTTCCAAATCATGTAGCATACATAAAAATTTCCCAAATTAATTCATCCTCTACCTCCACTCTAACTCTTTATGATATTTGGGCTTAAGCTTACCCAAATCAATAGGCCCAATAGAAGAGAAAACTGTACAGATATAGTGAAACCCAATGGGCCTTCCCCAATTCATCCTCCACCTCCACTGTGACCGGCCTCTGGTTTTCCTTTCAACCCCAAAACCACCTTTGCCAGTTGCTGCAACTCCACAAGCAGCGGCTTTGAGTAGAAGCACAAAGGGAAGAACCAACTAAGTGCTTGAAGCAGAAAACAGATATGGGAGGTAGGGGAAGATCTCGTACACAAAGAAAACACTTCCGCCAAAGCAGAGAAAATGTGTGGAAACGACCCAAATCGGATGGCTCTGCTAATGCCACGCCAGGTGAAGATGCCGCCGGCAATGGCGGAAATACGAGCTGGGAGCCTTTTGCCACGCAGAATCCCGCTTTCGATGAGTATTACAAAGTAAGCCTGTAGCTGATTTTGTTTCCTTTTGTATTTGTGTTCTGAA